ACAGCCCAGCTTCAGACCTCGGAGATCAGAGATGAGTCTTGGAATTTTGTGGCCTGACCTTGTACCAAGCCTCCAGTTTAGGATCTTCGAGGCCATATGAGCATTCAGCTCCCATCTGGCACCTGCCCTGCAGTGGCATGACCTACCTAGGGTGCAGGCACATCATTATTTTTATGGATCTATTTATATATGTAGAAATATTCCCCAAGGATGTTTTCCCTGAGGAGGGGCCAGGAGGCCAAATCCATCCAGGAGAGAAAAAGGAGGCGGTAGAGCCAGATGTCGTCTGGGGAAGGACCACAGACCTTCCCAGAAGGTGGCTGAGAAGGGGGAAGCCAAACCCCCAGCTAGTTCCTGCATCTCCCAGGTTTACAGCGAGTCCCATTCCAAAGGTTCTGCCAAAGGGTCTGGGTACGAGACCAGAGGCTCCGCTTTGATTTTCAGCCTGATTTTTCTGCAATACAAACAACCTAAGGAAAAAAAAAAAAAATCACAGAGAGACCACTCTGTTCAAGAATCTTTAGCTCCAGATCTGATGCAACAAGGGATGCCACCACCACGAGTCTCTTTAAATCCTGATCGATATATGCTATCTACATTTTTAGGTTGAGATATTTCTTGATGCATTTCCTCTGGGTCTCAAGCAGAATGGGGTGAACAACTGATTTTCCAGTTCACCTGGGTAACCAGCTGTCCACGTATTATCACCAGTATTTTACTTTGCAAAGTCTTGGGCTTTTGAAGCCAAGTGATTATGTGAGGATTTCAGCTTTTAAGAGTTTCCAGATTCCTCTCTGTTATGATATTTAGAGCATTTATAGGTGCTTTGGAGCCCGGCTGTGCTTTCAGTTCCCCTCTGCCCCAATGCCACTCAACCACCTCCACCCCAGAGCTCCCCCCGCTCTCCAGCCAGCTCCATGCCCCCCCATCGCCGGGCGCACGCAGCAGAACGGCATCGCCAAGGCCAAGAGGGGAGATCTCTCTCCCGGTGGCAGCTCTCTCCCCACATCATTTCAGCTCTTATTCCCAAGCGTGCTCCTCGCAATCCTGAAAGGAGACTGCACGGGCGAAGAAGACGTTTCCACAGCAAACACATTTCGAGAGGAAAAACACCACTGCCCCAATCCTGGGGACACTGATAAACGGCTGCTTGCCCATAAGAATTCAAAGTATTTATCTAGATGAGCAGCAACGCAGCCTCTTAATGTCCGTGATGCAGGTGGCTTCGCTGGGAAGGGCTCAACCTGACAATCAGGACGCCAGGGTTTCAAGCCCAGCTTTCCTCTCACTGTGTGATCTCCTACAGGCCTATTTTTCTAACCAGCCCTTTGCTTTCCCTGATACACGTTATTATCCCCATGTGATGATTTAATGACGATTTCAATGCAAAATTAATTATGAAGGATGCTGGCATTTCCATCGCAGGCCGGCCCCAAAGCATTCGCATCCACTTGTGTGCCTTAGAGGCCATCAAGCAGCTTCTAAGCGCAGAGCAGAGCAATGCTGTTATTAAGCATTCACACTATTCAGCGTTGCGTGGCATCATCCCTGTTTACAGCTCCCAGGTTACAAGGTCACTGCGACCACCCAGCGCAGCACAGCAGCCACCAAGGCCCGGAGGAGAACGTCAGGACCGGCCTCACGTCAAAGCGGTGGGACAGCAGCAAGGGACACGGAGGCATCCTCAAAGCCAGACTCAGTCTTGTGGGGGTGTTTGCTCCAAAGCTGGGTCAGGTTACTAGGGGAAGCAAAAGCCTCGTTGCTCCAGGAGAAGGTGGAAACACCATCAGCCTCAGGCCAGCAGAGTAATCCCTTGCCTTTAAAGAGAGCGCAAGCAGATGGTGGGTTAGATAAGAGAAATCCTTGAAAGCCCCGTCTGAAACACCTGAACAGAGACAGCAGGTTGTGCTAGAAAGTGGTGTGAGGATTTGCACTAATCCCACGTCCTTCCCTACCACCACGGCAAGCAGCAGCCACAGGAACTGAGGACGAGGAGGGGAAAGTTTGCTACTTCTTGCTCTACTTTTAATTCCCAACGCATATTATTTTTTTCCCCATCAACGGCTTTTTGCAAACGCCCAAAGCTGAGCCAGCAAGAAACACCCTTTCTCTTAAAAACGAACTAAACCAAACTTTCTCCTCTGGCCATACAAACCCAGCTAACCACAGATTCCAATGGAAATAGTTGTCTCCTGTTATTATTATTCCTGCTTGTATTCTTGTGCCAGTTTTAAGGTCCTTGGTGGACACAAAGAGCCAGGCGAGGGGGAATAAAACAAAAGCCAAGCTGGTCTGGGTCTCAGCAGCGTTTATAATCTGAATTTGGGCACCTGCAATACCATCTGCCAGGCTTTGAGTTCCAACTTGGAGTTGAACTCATCAGAAACCTGGGCTGCCGTGGAAATGACAAATGAATAGCAGCCCCATGCGGGCTCAGAAAATGAAATCAGCAAACTGGGGACGACAGGGACAGACACACGTATTCAGATAATAACACACACGCCTCTGTGGGTGAGGCAGAGCCTCGGGAGGGCCCCGGGCAAGGATGAGGCACCAGCTGCCTTCCTCCCACCTGGGCACCCTGCACCCCAACCCAGCGGTGGGCTCGGGTCCGCCTCTCACCCTCCAGCACTTCGTCCCCAAGTCATGTGGCCCCACAACTGAGCGGTAGATGTAGATGATTTTGGGGTTGTGTTGTTTGTCTGCCCAGTGCCAGTGAGGAGGAGGAGGAGGAGGAGTTAGATAGCTAAACCTGTCCTCCTTGCAAAAAGCCTCCTCATCTTCTTTCCTCCAAAAGCCTAGGGGTGAAACAAGGCGTGCGTGACCCCACCACGTAGGTGGTGTCTGTCAGCATGACCTGCGTAATGCCTTCTCAACATCTTGCCCAATTCAATTAAATTTGACACATCAAAGGCACTTTCAGTTCATACAAGCTCCTTGGAGGGCATGCAGCTGGGGAGAGGACGAGGAGCCTTCCCAATGCCGGCTCAACGTGGTTAGACATCAGAGAAGCCAAGCAGGAATGTCCCAGTGAGCAAAGTCCAGCAAACAGCCTCAGGAAAATAGGTTTTGCATGGCGTGTTGTTAGGGAAACATCTTGTTTCTCTCTGGAAGTTTTCCCCATCATTGCCAGCTGTATTTTATTATGTCTCCTAGTCAGCTGGAGGATTTTACTAGGAGGTTACTATCCACAGTTAGGAACCTGGGAGAGCATCTTTTTAGCTAAAGCGAGGCGTGCAGCGGAGAAGCTGCCAGCAAAACGCGGCCACCTCCAAGGTAGATCTGTGGCAGGCACATTACGAAAGGGTTTGGAGGATGGAAACAAGGTGCATTTTATCCAGCTGGAGCCACAGACAGGGCTGAAGGGAAGTGGCAAGCAATTACTCCAGCTGGAACCTGGCCAGGGTGTCTTGAAATACCAGCTTGCAAAACTTTCACCAAAACACGCCAACGGACCAGGTGTTTCTAGGATAACAGATCTGGTCTTTAACTCTGCAATCTTCCCCAGGATCAGCAGAACCAGGAGAAAACCATTACGAGGAATTAATGCTGTAATGGACCCGCAGTCCCTTGAGACTCTCTGGGTCTGTTTGCTGAGCTCAGGACTTTGGGTACGGTTGGAGGAGAAAGGCTCATTTATTTTCAGCTCTGGAGGAAGAAGTCGCCTCTTCTTGCTCTGAAGAGGAATCCCTCCCAGCTCTTGAGCGTGCAGGGCTGACTGCACCCAGCAGAAGGCAGCAGTGAATGCGATTTTTTTTTTTAGTGCTTTTTAAATTTAAAGAGGGATTTACATAATTTTACCGATCTCCTGCATGTAGAAGCTTCGCTCAGCACGTGCTGGAGTGTGACCGCTTCTGCAGAGGCGCGTGGCAGCCACGGATAAGCACAGCCTGGGCTCGCTGCGTTAGGCACGGGGAGATGGCAGCGCTTGAGAAAGGCGAGATGCGATCAGCCAAGCAAGGAGAGCAGATCTGGCACCCAAACCCATTTAAAAAAAAAAAAAAAAAAAATTCTCCTGGCACAAGGCTGCAAGGACTACAAGGAAACCAAGAATTCATTGTTAAGTGTCACCGGAGACTTTTTCTGCCCCAAAACCTCAGTCCCCCACAGGTCCATGTTGCTCAGCGCTGAAAGCCTCCCCCCTCCACTCCCTGCCAGCCAAGGATTTGCAGCTGGACAGATTGAGGATGGCGGGCAGCAGCACAGGAACGTGAAAGGAGTCGTGTAAACATGGCCTGGGTCCGTGCAAAGCCTGTGGCTTTGTGCTGGCGTTCCTGAGAGCAAAATCATTGACCTTGTTGAGCAATAGCTTGAAAGGCAAAAAGAAAAGAAAAGGGCCCAAGATGACAGGGGTAGGATACACCCTCCCCGGCTACAGGCAGCCAGCACCCCCAGCAGCCCACTCACACACCCGATGCTCTGTAAGGAGCAGCAAAGCAGAAAAGGCAGCAAAGAGGCCCACAGTCCGCAGCAATCTGCCCTCTTTATCCGAGCCACGCCACCCCATTCAGCCCCCACCCAGGCACCTCGAGGAAGCCCCAGCTTGTCTATGGCTTCCCGGCTAGGCAAAGCATCCCCCAAACCCTGCTCTGCTCCCAGGACAGTCGCAAGCCACTTGTTTCTTGGGTTTGAGCTGTTCTTGGCAGCCTGGGAGCAGCTTCAGGTGCTTAACTTCACTTTATGTTTCAACATCCCATGTAAATGGAATGCGCGGGGAGCCCTGCCCCAGGAGAGCTCCTCCAGCCCAACAGTGGCAACAAGACATTTCAAACAAAACTACAGTCCTCTCCAGTCTGCAAGCACACGGAGGAGGGGAATATTATCTACACCTCTGCTAATGAAACACCCAGAACCTGGAGAGAGGTAGTAAAAGGGAAAAGCAGAGGAGGGAGCAGAGCTTCGTTATGCAACCGCGTTATCTAACGACCACAGAGACACCCTATAGGGGCTCTTTGTTTGCAGAGGGAAGGAGAAAGAAATGCCACCAATATCTGAGTCACTGGTTCACCAAGAGGCTCCGAAGTTATTTTCAGATGGAAACTTTTCCAGTTTCACATGATAATTTGGGAGGACTGGCTAATTCCCTGGCTCCACCCACCGCCTTGTAACACAGCTCCCTGCTGCTCTTGCATATATAGATAGGTATGGCCCTACAATTGGGTGCAGACAAGAGCCTGGTGACAGAGGAAAACTAAACTTTCTTCCTTCCTAGCTGCCCTCCGCCTGCTCCCACCATGAAGAAGGAAATATTAACGCTGGCCTTTGCTCGATCCGTCTTTGTCGAGTTTATCTCCACACTCATCTTTGTCTTTATCGGCCTCGGCTCAGCCCTGAAGTGGCCGTCCGCCCTCCCCAGCATCCTTCAGATCTCGCTGGCGTTTGGCTTGGCCATCGGTACGTTGGTGCAGGCGTTTGGCCACATCAGCGGCGCCCACATCAACCCGGCGGTGACCATCGCCTTCTTTGTCGGGAACCAGATCTCCTTCCTCCGGACGCTCTTCTACGTGATCGCCCAACTCGTCGGGGCCATCGCCGGGGCTGGCATCCTGTACGGTGTGACACCGGTCAACACACGTGGCAACCTGGCCATCAACGCGGTAAGTGTCCCTCCCGGAGGCCGTCCCCTCGCCGTGTGGGCTTTCCTTTCCTTCTGAGCACAGGACTGGTGCCGGCACCAACCCCGGGAGCCAAATCCATTGATCTCGGCACATTGTCCTGCACGCACAGAGGGATGGGAGTGGGATAGGAGCAAACACTAGCTAGCCAGCAGAGCACTGACATGACAGCTTTATTGTGCGGGGTAATGAATGCATGTTTTTTTTCTCCTTTAATAAGCGCTTCCTTTATCCTAAGGGCCTGAGTGAGTCACTCGCACCATTGAGATGTTCTTGACTGCAGCCTCTCCACCTGGAGATTAGCGCCGGGATAGGAGCTGTGCCAGGACGGAGGGGGGAGGGCAGGGAGCAGAGCCCAGTCAAACCAGTATGAGCAGGGGGAGCAGAAGCCCACTGTAACCAGCGTGCTGGGGGAACTGGGGAATGGAGGTGGTTGGAGAGGTGGTGGAAAAGAGCTAAAGAAGGAGCAATGCATGGAGGGTGTGGAGAAGCTGTGAGCGGCAGGGGCTGCTCTTGGGGGAGGAGGGAGACAGTGGGACCCTCTGAGATAAGCAGGGATGAGGAGCGTGTCCCAGACCCTTGGGGCAGTGCTGGGAAACCACCTGAAATGGGAGTGGTGGGGCTCCTGCTCCAACCATGGCCAGGTCTGGACCCCGTGGAGCAGCGCAGACGCGTTGCAGAGGATTCGATCACTAGGATGGGGGTGCTGCAATGCTCCATGCTCCCACATGCTGCACGTCCCAAACCCGTCAGCTTTAGCCAAAACCAAACTGCCACAGTTTGGGTCACTTTGCCCTTCCCATGCCCAGTGGGGACGAGTCCATCCGACAGTCTCCAGTGGTTAGTGCAGAGGCACTGGGACAACATCAGCCCATTTTACCCCCATGACTGCACCCCAACCTTCATCCAAACCCTCATCCTTCATTCTGGGCCCTTCCATGGTTGCTACCAGCGGCTCCCCAGCCTCTTGGGAGGGGCTCCACTAAGCGGAGGGGAGAAGAGTCAGGATACGACAGCTCATAAGGATCAAGAGGGAAAGAAATGCAGGGAAAAAGGGACAAATCAGGGGGATTTGGTGGGAAAGCGTTGAGTGTTGGGAGACAAGCAAGTGGAGGAAGATGTGGACAGCCCCAAGGAGGGAGGCTTAGGAGAGAGACAGGTTTTGGGGCATTAAGCAGAAAGAAAGATAATTTATTCCCTTCCAGGGAAGGAGCAGTGAACCCAAGCAGTGGCCACCACGGCACCTTGTGCCCCAGGGCTGGGCAGGGGACCTGGGGGTGCTTCTTTGGGCAGGGCTTTGCCAACCCAAATCCATCAGCAAAGCACCCGAGAGCCCTCCTGGTGCTGCCGAGCCCCAGGAATGGTTAATATTGTCACTCTCAATGGTTCACAGCTCAACAACAACACGACCCCAGGCCAAGCCCTCGTGGTGGAGATCATCCTCACCTTCCAGCTGGCTGCGTGCATCTTTGCGTCCACGGATAACCGAAGGAACGGCAACGTGGGCTCCCCGGCACTGTCCATCGGCCTCTCCGTTGCTGTAGGCCACTTGGTGGGGGTGAGTGTCCAGGCAGGAGAACAGGGCAGAGGGTCCCGCTGGGGCAGGGATCCCCAAAATACTCTTGTGTGGTTGGTCCCAGAGGGACCTGCAACTGGAGAGCCAACACGGGACATATCTGGGCTCCCTGACCATCGTAATGGGGGGATCTCCACCTCTCTGCAAGAGAGACGGCATCGGGGGCCATTTCGGTCCCTGCTTCTGAAAAGTTGCTCGAGAATGCTGAGCACCATGATGCTTAACCTGGTCTCCTTTCCACACTGACAGATCTACTTCACTGGCTGCTCCATGAATCCAGCCCGGTCCTTTGGGCCTGCGGTCATCGTGAGGAGGTTCAGCCCAGCACACTGGGTGAGCATTGGCAGTGGGATGGGCTGGCCGATGGGCTGCCGGGGCCAGATGCAGGCAACAAGGGGAGAGGGCAGCGACTGCCTCGGGGATTGCAGGGCTGGGTGTGTCCGAGCCCATCCCAGGCCTAAAGGGATGAAGGGGGCTGGAGAACAAGGGAGGCTGTTCCCCTTGACCCGCGGGGAACTGGTTATCCCCATAACATAGAGCCAGCGAGGGGTCGAGCATAAACCCCCCACGCAACGGCGCACTCTGAGCTAGGGCATCGTCTGAGGTCAATAAAACCCACAGAGGAGCCCAGTTCAGGCTTCCCACTCGCCCAGCGCTGCCCGCAGGATCTGACTCAGCCTTGCAGAGCCGCCTTGGTGCCTCCTTGCGAGCCCACCACATCTCTGCACTCATAAAGAGCTCGATCGTGGGAATTAAGAACTGGTGGTTAGCACAATGTAAACTGACCTTGAGGTTAGAAGAAGGGTTGTGGATGACTGAGGCAACATTAGGGAACACCTTGTTGGCCAGCGCCAGAACACCTCCTGCAGAGCACGTGGTGAGCGTGTGAGCAGTAAACAGATAAAACCTGAAGGTCAGTAGGATGTAGGAGTAAAAACGAACCTGTGTAAACAAGTAGTAATAAACCGGGAGCTTGCACACAGCGCGGAGGCATTTGCTCTTGGCGATGCCCCCACACACACACACTTCAACAAACTGGCAGACGTTTGTCATTACTCAGCGCGTCTCCCCGCTCCCGGCTGGTCTGAGATTGACACTTGACGTCTTCAGCAAGCAAAGGTTGAGGGGATTTCAGCCCAAGAAGTCCACTGGGACGGGTATTTGCATCCCTCCATGGGCTAGGAGATGCGGAGCAGCGAGGGATGCTGGTGTGCTGGCTGGACCTGGGGCACCAGCCTCCACGACCTGCTCTCACTCTCTCCCTTGTTGCTTTCTAGGTGTTCTGGGTTGGGCCCATCCTCGGGGCTTGCTTGGCTGCTCTGCTCTACTTCTACATCCTCGTCCCCTACTGCATGAACATGTCAGATAGGGTTGCCATTGTCAAGGGCACCTATGAGTCAGAGGAGGAATGGGAAGAGCAGAGAGAGGAGAGAAAGAAGTCCATGGAGTTGACCCCACCATAGGAACAGTTGGAAAAAAAAAACAACAGCAAGCAAAAGGAGGGGAGGAAGCCCCACACATGGGCTCATGTGTGCACCCAAGCCAGACAATGAACACATCCAGCTACAGTAGACTCTTAAACAAAAGTCTTAGAACTCAAAGGCCATCTGTGACTAAAGAAAGGAGTTTTGCAGTCTCTGTGTATATAATCCCTCTTCGTGAGTGTGAGCACTAGAACCTCTCCTAGCTTAACTGCAGGTAGCTAAGCCCAGCAAAGGAGTCTCAGCCCAGGGCAGCCTCCCAGAAGTGGTTTGACACCCACTCGGCTGCATCCCTGCCCTCCTAGGTGCAAGTTTTGCCCGGAGGCCTGAGACTGCACGTTCTGGTGCACACAGGATTTCACCCCTGTGTCTGACGGCCCAGGGGGTGGAAATACTCTGTAGACACCAGCAAAGAAGAATGACTGCCTTGGGCAGGTAAGTGCAGCAAAATCCCCCGCTTTCTCCCTGCCACGGGGCCCACGCTGCTCATAGATGCTCTTTCATGCATTAGCTGGTGCTGGTGAGTCCTATTTATTTGTAGCTGCAGAGAGAACGTGATTTTTTTTTTTTGATTTTGTGTTGAGATCTTTGTAATATAGTTTATTATTTATTGTGAATAAAGGAAATTTTAAGAGAGTCATGGGTGCAAATCTGCTCAGGTATTAAACTTTAGGAGCAAAAATGGATTAAGCTGGGTGCAAAGCTGTCCCAGAGAGCCAGGGCAAGAGCTTGGACCCAAACCCTGTGGCAGCTGGCACCACGAGCAGGTGGTTTGGCAAATGCTAGTCATTAGTCCTGCGAAGGATAAATGGGCACTGGTGTTGGAGTGGGGGGAGCAGGAGGTGCCTTACGCCCGGGTGCTGTGTCCTGGGTGGTTTGAAGCCCATCTCTGGGGCCGACAGGACCTGGGAGGAGCCAGCAGCAATCTTTCACGCACTGTCCCGGTTTGACTCAGGCACAGCTTTCTGCCATACCAGTTCTCCCAGACAGCTCCATGGGTGCCCTCAAAAATTGACCCACAACGGTCCCCAGCCCCCTCACCGGCTGCCAAACCCACACCTTCGCCCTGACCTTTGCTGGAGCCTTGCTCTTCCAGTTCTGCCACAACCCTCTGCCAAGGCATCTCGCTCCTGACCTGGGCATGGGGACGCTGTGCGCTGGCACCGTCCCCAGCGGTCCCTCCCACCTCGTGCAGAGCTCCACCATCACAGTCCCTCTTCTTGCTGCAAAGATGAGGTTTCCACACAGAGCACAGACCCCCAGGGAGGTGGGAGGCGCTTGCCTGGGAGCTCCCTGATCCCAGATGCACCTCGATCCCAATCAGACAGGTTATGCCGCCTTTGCGTGGCACTGCCAGGGTGGATAGGAGGTATCACCTATATTTTAGCAAGCCCAAACAGATTTGTGGCACTGCATGAGCCTGGGCAGCAGTAGACCCTTGTCCCTCATTTCCCTTTGTCCCCCCAGTTCTCAACAGAAGAGTTTGGTAACAAGCAGGAGAAGAAAAGGAGATGGAAGAGCCCTTAGTTTGGTCACACAGATCAGCAGCAGAGCTAGGAAGATAATAATGCAAGCCTGCACCCTGTCTTAACCCTCTCACCTCACTCTTCCTCAAGGATGGTCCAAGATCTACGTTCTGTGCCTCAGTTTCCTCTTTCATAAGGGAGAAGAATATTAAAGCCCCTTTCTCATTGGGAAAGGGCAGCATGGTCGCACGGGACATGGGAGATGCTTTACAGACACCAGCCCCAGGGAAAAATCAAAGCACTTCCAGATCCCGGAATATCCGAGCACCTCACAGTGAGACACAGGGCTGGGGGGGTCAGCATTCCTAAAACCTGCATCCCACCATCTCCTTCCACTGCACCCCTGGACCCCGAAGGTGCCCCCAAAGGGCGCGTTCAGTCACCACCCCAGAGCGGGGAATCCTGGGCGTCCCCCCGCATTGTTGCTCTCAGCTCCATCCACCCGAGCACTGGAGAAGGGATCCCAGCCTGTGGTGGGAATCGGGGGCCACCGCAGCACCCCGTGGAGGGGCCCAGCCCTCACCAGCGCTGCCAGCGTGATCAACAGCCAGGAGAAGAAACCCAGCCTGGGTGTGAGCCCTCCATGGGGATGAATCAGAGGATCCTACGGCAGCACCTTTGCGTCAGCACAAAAAGCATCCAGGGCCTGGCTCGAAAACACGGGCAGGATGGTCCCACACCGGGCTGGGGGGCACAAGCAATTAACCCCCTTCCCCCGCGCACAGGCAGGGGCAGACCCTAAATCTCGGGGTGCACGCGGGCTGGAGCCCGGTGAAGGCGGCAGCATCCCTACGCGGTGCAGAGGTCTGGTGCTCAGCACGAGCCCCAGGTCACCCTCCCCTCTCGGCTTCTCCCTGGGCCCTGCTGCGTTTAGTCAAGGCAGAGAGGCTGCGTTTAATCCAGACCAAGCCCTGGCATCCAGCAAGAGCCGGGACAGAGCCCGGGTCGTGGCTGGGAAACCCTGAGGTCCTGCTGCCTGTCCTCACTTGCCCAGAAATGGGAAGAGCAGCGCTTAAAAACAAATAATTTTTTTTTTTTTTTTTGGTAAAACATTCAAGCTTCTTCAGCTTGAAATTGAAAGGCTGGTGGTCAGCAGGAGCAGCACCCCCTTCGCAGAAAGAGCCATTTCACAGGGAAAAAAAAACAAAACAAACTTTATTTCAGCAGACACAGGCAAGGGCTGATACAATCCCCGCGCATTCAACCCAGATTTACCTGCAGCACACAGTAACGCGGCCACAGCTCTCCTGCCCTTGCTTTCCCAGCTTCTCCCCAGAATCAGGAGTTTCCATTTCAGAAGCAGCATCTCGGCACACCCCCACCCCACACCCCCACGCCGCCGCCTACGGCCCCGCGCAGTCACACCATCTCGGTTATAAACAAGTGAACCATGTTGGTGCTTTGTGTTACCAATTTTTTTTTTTTCCCCCCCCTATTTCCGAGGTACATCACCAGGTGAAACTCGCACCGAAGCACTTCGACGTACCATTTTTGTACGTATGTGCCCTAAGTAAGCCAAGGGGAACGGATGCAGGTATTTCCTAAACATGCCTACTGGCAATTACTTTGCACTAAGAGGATTTCACAGGCTCTTTCTCATTCTCGAGTACCTTTTCCAATAGCAGATAATTGCTGCCCAGCTGTAAAATTTTCTTTAATTTTTTTTCTGGCAGGGAGGAAAAACCCAACTCTTTCCACATGTTGTAACAATCTGGAAGCCTTTTAGCTTTTTACACATCAAAGGGCTTTCAGTCTGCTTAAGGAAGGCCTCTAGCAGCTGTTTGTGTATCATTTAAAGTCCCTGAAACACAACCTTGCTGGGCCACGGTAGAGACAAGGAAAGGAACCAGGTGCGGAGAAGCAAGACCCAGTGGCAATGTCTCAATTAAAAAAAAAAAAAATTAATAAGTTGCAGGCGCCTCTTTGCTTCGGTCCCTTGCAGAGGGTCAGCCCCAGCTCTCTCCATCATTCTGCCCCTGAGCAGGAAGGGGTAATGCTCCACAATTTGGGAGCACATCCCTTCCACCAGCTCGGACTATTTTGCAGCCCCGTGCTTTGCTTAAAGCCACAGTTTCTGGCTGGTTTCACCTGCAGACCAACGCGGAGCAGTGCTCAGTCCTGCTTGTTGAAAACAGGATGAGAGATGAAAAGGAAACCCAGTCAAACACCAGGGAAGATGGAAAAAGCTTTGCAGAGGGGTACTGCAGCCTGCTGAGTGCTGCTGGAAAGTCCACGCAGCACAGGGAAGCAAACCCCCCTCCACACTGCTGGAGTCCCAAGCATCCAGGGACCAACCCGGGAGCCACAAAGAAGCCAACCTAGAGCCACCCTCCCTCAGCACATGCACTGGGAGAGGTGCACGGCTGGCAGGTAAAGAACTCCCCGGTGCATCATCCAAGGCTGACGGGCAGCGATGCGGTCGATGGAGGAGAAACCTCTGTGCAGAGACACGGCAGAGGCTGGCCTGGGTGTTGGCATTAGTCATGGTACAGACTTTCAGCACCCACCTCCTCTGAGCACAAGCACCAAGGCTTCCCCCTCCTACTCAGCCTCTGCCCAGCCTATAGTTGTTGCGGGACCGATTCGTTACGAGCCAGGAAACAGCTCACACAGCCACTGAGGGCCAACAGCCACCCTTCCTGTTGTTGAAAGGCATCACCCCAGCCAGGTAATGCAGCCTCCGCCTGAAGATCAGCCGCTGTAATTTGTATTTTGCTCACTGGCTCATATCACACTTGATTTGGGGTTGAATGCAGCAGCACCTTGATCGGCACCCACCGGCACCCTGGGGACAAGCTGCCGTGCTCACGTGAGCGTGAGGCCACCAGTGCCCTGCTTGGTCCTTGCATCAGCATCACACCGTGATCCTGCTGTGTGCAGGGGCTGACGTGGGGAGATGCAGCACCACAATACATAGAAATAGAGGATAAGGTGAGTGTTGCCCCTAAAGAAACCCTGACATTAAAGAGAAGAAGGGCAGGAGATGTCCAGAGACCAGGGTGGGCAGGAGTAGATCTGCCTGGTGTGTCTGTTCCCCCATCAACACTCTCCCACAGCCCCAAAAATGCCTCTTTAAAGCCCAACAGAGTTTGGAGTTATTAGCAGGTGCCCCAAGGTGGGGGACCAGGAGGGGACAGGGGTTGGCCTGCCCTGGTGCCAAGCATGGGTGCTCTAGAGCAGCACCCATGGGAGAGCAACGGGTGCCCAGGGCATCTCTTGCTGCCCTCTACTGGGATGCTCCATGGAGAACAGAAGGGACCAGGAGCACCCTCACCAGAGCAGATCCACCCGAGGGGAAAAAACCCACTCTTGCTTCCCAAAGCTCACGCACAGCACCCCACATGAAAACAAAATTCCCTCCCGCCCCAGCATGCGGGGACCACAGGCTCGGCACTGGCTGGATCAGGGCTGTATTTCTGCTGCCAAGTTTCCTCTTGCTCAGACTTTTGGCCTCAGCTTTCCAGGATACAGCCCGCCGCTGTCCGTTTGTTCTTAATCGCCCTCCTGTAAACAAGCAAAGTCCAACGGCAGCTCACATAATGGA